GACTTGGACTTCCTATCTGGTTTAGCAAAAATCGTGTAATCTTCGGAAAACACTAAGGAACATTCCGGGCCACACTTTAAGTGACAGGAAAACACTACCTCAGCGACGCTTCCATTTCTGGAAAGGTCTAAAAATTAACCAGCATCTAGCTAACGAAGCAGTGTTTGGCTTTGCCATTCACATGACATACGTAAAACATTTTCATCAAAAAAACCCCAACCAAATAAACGTGACTCGGTTCTTCAGCAGGCAGAGGTAACGGAGAGTGGGGAGCGTTTGTCTGGAACACTCACACTTATCCTCTCGGTGACAATGACACTGAAACTGGAAGCTCTGCAGATGTGCTGATGCTGGCGAGGCCGTCGCCGCCTCGACTGACGCTGCTCCCCGCGGCCTGGCGAAGCCCCGGCACTGCTCCTTGGCACCAGCTCCAGGAGCATCGCGTCGCTGGGCACGCTGCAGCGAGTCTGGAACCTGCTCAAGGGGTGCGCCCACCACGAGCAGCGGCTGGGAGTTAGAGACGCAGGTTCTCAGCATTCAAACACTAACACTGAAAAAAATAATCAATGTATTTATTTGCTGGGCTACAACGGTACCATGGAAAAATGAACTGCTTTCACATTGAGAGCCAGCTTCGAGATAGAATTAAATCTGACACACTTCCCATCAACTTGATACCCCGTTACAACAAACGTCTTCTGTTTAAACTTTATTTTTCATGCACAAGATGAAATAGCTAATGAAGTAACTAAGCATTACATGGGTGTGCTTTTCTCAGTAGCCAATTTCTAATAACGACTCTAAGTTCTTTAACCCAGAAAAGGACATGTTATTAGTCTTGCTGAGTGTGAAAACTAAGTGTGCTTATGGATATTCAGTTGTCAAACGCTAAAGAATTAAAAATAATCATAAAAACAATACAAATACCATTTTTAAAAGGTCTTCATAAACTGCATCTATGAAAGGTGGCCCAATAAAGCAAAACACTCCAAACTCTTCAGTAGAGGAAGCACAAAGACTCTACACAAAAATAAACCCAGCATCACACCTCTTGCTTACCAAGCACAGTTACAAAATGGATTCTTCAGCAGAAATAGGGGGGAAAATATCTTCCGGTACGACAGTAAGTAAACTTCTAGAAGACAGCATTGTGCTTTTCGTTACTAGTTTTCTTTCCCTTTAAAGAGAAATTTAAGTCCAGAAAATACAGAAGTTTGGTGAAGAAAAAACTACAATCCTGGTAGCACTTTTGCTGCCAGTATACAATTATATTTTTGTGCTTTCCCTTAGGCTGAAGACACGAGGTTCCAAAAACGGTGACACCACCACCCTTGACGTGGCCTCTCTTACACGACAAGAGTAAGTGTTCAAGAGAAAGGTACCGGCACAGCACAACCTACCTGCACAAAGTCACTTCAAATAGATCTTTTTTTATATATATATTTGTTTTGCTTATCTATTAGGTGTATCTCTTCACCTTTTTAACATTTTACACACCTTTTCTTCTCATGGCTACTTTTTGTCTTTAAAGGAACGTAAAGATTTAATGACTCCTTCAATGCATCTGTATATGGAGAGACTTGGTTATTACCTATATTATCAACATGGGGTTTTAATGTCACTTTCTTTGGTCAGTGTCTGGTCACCTCTTTACCAGGTATTTCACAAATCATAAAGCTCTTTAGGCCCATGAACGTCACACGTGTACTCCAGATGCCAGTTTTAAAAGTCTCATTCTTTAATCGGATTTTCATACAAGAACATGAGACTTTATAGAGCGACAGAATGAAAATCCAAAGTGACAGACTGGGTGACTGGAATTTCTATTGGACTTTTTTACCCATTAAAATGTCTAGCCTTATAATTTTGGAAGAGAATTTAGCACCAGCTGGAATCCTCAGAGAGCATGAGTAAAACAATAACAAACCTCCTTCAAATACAATTTTAAATCACACGTTTAGAAAATGCCTCCAAAAAATGGAACTCCCTCACTAAATTTAAAAATTCATGGGATTGACCACCAGGTCAAATCCTGCCATCTCAGAAACAGCACGAAGAAATGCAGTATTTAAGTCTGCTGAGGACATGTAATCTGACAGATCGCAGGAGCCGGGGATTTACAGAGACCAGGTTGAAGTGTGACTTCACAGCAACTGAAATTCAGGGTCCAGATCAGCAAATCAGCGTTCCTGCACCAACAACGTTAAGCCAATTTAAGAAACAAACTTAAAAAAAGAGGGCAAAGAACCCAGGAACCTCAGGCTTGTTTGCAGGGTGCTGGATTTCTCCCGTATTCTCTCCCTCCAAGGACAGCCTGAGGAAAAGGAAATCTTCAGACCCACCTCACAGCTCCACAAACTCAACGCGATGATGGCAGAGAACAAAGTACAGATAACTCTGCCCTCTGAAAGGGCAGGGAGCCGGGGGGCTGGTGTGTAAACCCGGTGCTGCAGCCTCTGAAGCGAAGCTCCCTTTCTGACCTCCCGTCTGCAGGCAATAAAGCTTCAAGCTGATGGACATCAACTCCACTTGTTGAGGTTACACACGCAGGGTTCAACTAAGGCACTACCGACACAAATGAGTTAGCCTGTGCATCTCTACAGATTCGCAGATACCGTACCACACTAATGATGCGTCTACTGCCTCCAGGCTGCGTGTGGTAAAAGACGAGCTCAGCTTCAAGCATTTTCTAGAACTTTTCTGGAATTTCAGGAGGTCCCACAGAAACCTGTTACCAGGAATGCCCACAAAAGCCAGAAGTGGTAAGCGACCAGCTCTGGAGCACAGATCTAAATCTTCTCTACTGGTATGAAACCAGCCCCGTGAGTTGTGAGGAATGAGGTATTTCACTGGTCCTTGCCCAAGTCCTGCACGCTGAGGACCTACCGAGCAGGAAACAGTGACAAAACAACGACAAACCGAAACGAATCCAGGTCATGTTTGTCAGCAGAGACGGGGTTACACAACCTCAGAGAGCAGCAGTCAGCCAGAAAGAGCCTTCTGAAATCAACAGCAACTTGTCAAAAGGAGGCAGCAGACACATTCCTGTAGACGTGGAGCATTACGAGATAACGTGCAAAGAACACTGCTCATTTTTCCATATCTATCAGGGCTAATTGTCAGCAACAGCTCCGCTTAGCTAGAGGAATGTTTCAAGTCATATTTCAATCTGCTTTACAGATTGTACAATGCCAGAAATCAGTGCACAACCAGTTAAGCAGCTTTGAGGTTTGGCTTTTAAATAGTTCACTCTTGAGTCCCAACCCAAAAGACCTTGCACAGAGAACAGAGCGTAACATCAGGGAACTAAAGCCAAGGCTGGTTTTGATAGACATAATACTACTTTATTCCATTGTTTCAACTTTCTTACAGGTTTAAAAAATGTACAGGGGTTCAGAACCACCTCAACAGAACAAAGAATACAGAATTAAGGGAGATCCAGAGTCAAACCACAAGTGTGCAAGCGTGGTTAGCTTCCATTACAAAAAGTAATAGGCACAATCTTTACATATGCATTTTGGTGAAAGAAGGAATAATAGTGCAGTGTTAAAAGGCACCAACGATCAATAATTGGGCCCTTTTTAAAAGCCAATAACCATCTAAGAAAATTACATTTGGTTCAAAATAATAATTTAAATGTGTTATTGATTGGCATGCATCTGAACCCCTGGAAATTTATTACACAAACCTCCTGTTCGCCCTTGCCAAATAAAAAAGATTTCATCAGTGGACCTGAAAATCAGTTCAGTACAAAAGGAAATACTGAAGCTCTTTGCCTGTATTTAATACTAAACTGTCCCGTTCACCTCCTCCAAGAACACTTGTCTAACAGCTATTCAACAACTGTATAGAAGTATTTCTCTTAAAGCAAGTGTAATGTTTTTAATCCTGTAGCACTGACCTACTCCGTGTGCTATGAAAACATCAGGCACAGACCACAATTTGCGTTTTCTCTAAAAAAAATTAAAAAAAATACAGTATGTGCAAGCGAGGTTCACACACGGATTGACAGCTACAACAGTAAGCTATTCAGACTTCCCCAAGAAAAGGGTTAGTTCATTTTAATTTTCTAAGCAGTGATGCACACTGCTATGTGCAATTATCATGTCTGCATTAGGATTATCTCCGTAGCCAATAAAGGAAAAGCTTTAGCACACCCTAAAGGACACTACATCAGTACTGTGCACTAATCCAACGGGATCAAGAGAACGAAAGACTGAAGAAGTCCTTGGCCACGGGCAGCTGCGGTTACTCAGCCAGCCAGGAAGGGCTATTGCTTTCTGCAGGAAGAATGGGTCGAAACTCAGTTTACCTCGTAGGTGCCCTAAAACTAAACCACTTGGACACAACGGAATCTAGGGATGCACAGCAAGGGGAATAAAGGGGAAATGAGAGGGAGAACTTCTGCGAAAGCTGTACCAAAATGTGTCGTTTGATCCAAAAGCAGCATGCCCAGTGTAGGTTTTATGCATTGCGGATTGTTCGTACAACTTAAAATCGTACAAGATGTGAGCAGAGACAGCTGGTTATTCATCCGCAGCATCTACTATAGTCCTCAGTATATAATTTACGGACAGCCACTTACTGTGTTGTTGATTGCTTCCTCTTAAATACATGTAAATTCAGAAGGCTACAGTATATTCTGACACAAAGATAGTAAGACAACTTTTCTACAAGGGGGGAAAATATAAGGTGGTGACTAACTTATTTATTTAATGAGGAACCTCCTCTGATGTGCTAGTTGTTTCATGCCCTTCGGAAGATTTTTAGTTCTGACTTTGTGCATCGTCTCTACCGAGCTGCCCTCCTCACAATCTCACAAGAGCTATATTCAAGTTCAGTGACCTCTCTTACAGCAGCCTTTGCCTTTTCCACCATCGCTTTCAAACTCACTCTAACACCATAGCAAACTATTCAAGTAAACATTTCTCTTCTGGCAAAATTCCAGATACAGCAAATCCTATCAAAACTCCGCGTTTGATTACATGCGCCAGTTTTCTTTAAATGGAGCACGAATTAGCCCGTTTCCTTGGTTTAGGGTCCCGTACATCCCTGTCTTTTAAGCACACACAGGATGAACATATTGTCTCTGACAGTCTCCGCAGTCCCAGCCTGAACACGCTGTTGGAGAGGCTATATATCACACAGTTGCAGAAACTATTGCTTATAGCAAGCCATGTCGTTAAGAAGGAAAGCGCTGCGTTTTCCAACACCCTAGAGCTCTCCAGCAGAAAGTATATGATATAGGGGAGCCACAGCACGTAGAACACACTGGTTATCCGAAACAAAACCATGGCATAGCGGCGATCAGGGCTGTGCCCAGTCTCCCCAGCAGCATCCACTTCGTGGCTAGGAAATCGAGCTCTCCGATCACTGATCTCTTTGGTGTGCTGCCGGCAAATTTTAAAGATGTGGAAATAGGTGAAACATATGACAAAGGCAGCAGGAGCATAGAGTAAGCACACGATAAAGCCAGTAAAATAGGCATTAGTTAGCCAGGAGGTAGCACACCATTCAAAAATATCTCCATGGTAACCAGGTTTTCCCCAACCAAAAAAGGAAGGCAAGAAGATGAGACAAGAGTATATCCAGATCAAAATGATGCAGATTCTCAAGCGACAAGGTGTGACCAGTTGATTATAGGAGAGAGGCTTTGTTATTGCAAGATAGCGATCCACACTGATGCAAGCAAGACATGCCATAGATACACTTTTGAGCACAGAGATGATATATCCGAAAACTTGGCAAGTCAAGGACTCGTGGACACCTGTCGAGTAGTGGAGCAGTGACAAAGTAGGAACCAAGCAGCTAACTCCAACAAAAAGATCAGCATAGGCCATGGTCTGAATAAAATAGCTGGTGGTGTAATGGTGCAGAAGTGGAGCACAGTGAAAAACAAATATCACAGTTAAGTTACCCGCAATAATTAAAAACGTGAGCAAGACAATAACCACCGTCTCAAGGATACAGATGTCAACTGCATTGTAGTGACCAAATCCAAGAGGGCAGGAGAGATGCTCAGATATGTTCATAACACTACCGCTCATATTGAGAGTCCTCCATTCAATCCACCGGGACTGGTTCATGTTTTATGATTAGGGAACACTTAGCGAGCAGATGACCTGCTTAACAGCAGCTACGCTCTGCTTCAGCGTCTCACGATCTCTCTCTGTAGACACTGCCAGTGCTTACATTTGAGAGGATTACAGTCCCATAGCTGTGGATGCCTCCTCAGCATCAGTGCATCACCTCTGGCACACCTTAGCTTTAAGGAAAGAAAGAAAGAAAGAGACAGGAAAGAAAAGGAAAAAAAAAAAGCCAGAAAGGCCACTGATCAGCTCCTGCAGTGCTCTTGACCAATCTTTAGCAAACACAAGGCACTTCTAAAACAAACAGGTACTGCGAAATACGGAAATAAAAACTGACCAAAAACAAGACCAAAAAAAGACATTCATTTCCCAGGGAAGGAGGGGGGAAATCTCTGACTGCTTATTTTCCTGAGAAAGTCATTTACTTTGGAATACAACGGGATGAGGGGGAGGAAGGGAAGGAGGAACCTCGGTACAGCTCAGGTTTCCTGGACCAGCCGTTACCAGAGATAATCTTTTTAATGTCTCAATTTAAATCACAGGCTGACTGAAGAGCAAAGGAAAAAGTTCATCATCTAATGCTGTCTTTTCTGGCTCCTTTCAGGAGATGGTACTGCCTCGTATCCATGCTGTTCATTGAAAGGTAAGGAAAGCATTTTTGTCAAGGTTAATTCCAATAGACTCACCACTGTTTGGGTATGAATAACGAATTTTATTTGGAGGGAGACGGGTGCGGGACAAGGCAGGTTTGTCCTCTGACTCCCAAGAAAACATACATCTCACATACAATGAGGAAGACTGTGACTACTCATTTATAAATGAAAATAATTTGAGAATAGAATTTGGAGACTTCTGTCAATAATCACAATGCTTCAAACAGTTATAGTCCATTACAGTTATTAATGCCAGAAGCATAAATCAAGGTTCCCACAGACAAAATAAATCCTCTTGAATTTAAATTCAGCAACGGTAATTTAAAATAATCATCTTTGGAAACTCTGCCACGTCTGCTACAGCGGATCAGTACCCACGAGTTCATAGGTATATCCATGACATTGCTCACCTCTGTAGCAACACCTGAATCATTTCACAAACCCCCACACAACGAGAGCAGAAACTTCCATCTGCATTCTGCTGGGAAGCTAACGAAATGCTGATTTGACTAGAAAAGCTGCCATTGTTTACTACTCCATTATTCGGCTATTCAGCTTCATCTTCTACGTAGTTTTAGGGTTTCTGTCTTTATTAGATGATCGGCATAATAAATAGATGCTTTAAAAAAAAACCATGTTCTTCTAACTGCAGGACATTACCTTGCTCATTTTATTCGCAGTTACAGAGAAAGCAAACGTTTAAAGAAAGCATCTTCTGTGTTCAGTTTTAAGTAAATGCTTAATTAGTTCAGGAATCATTAGGCAGGTAATTAGTTGTATACAATCTTGCTTTTTAAAAGGCCTCTAAAATGTTAAAACAATCTTTAATCCTAGAGTTCCTGAGACTAAAAGACTGGCAGTGAAAATTAATGAATCCACATGAAATGATCTCCAAGGTCATTCAGATATTACGCTGTCATTTGCTTTAAGTCCCTTTAAAAGTACCAGGATCTCTCTGATGGTTTTGATAGTCCTTGCTGTGCCTTCAGGAGGAATTTCAGATACTAGAAAAGAAAAATGTTCAGTGGTGTTGCAGCAGCTCGGGAGAAGGCATTCTTTTTGGAGGTAATTTTCTGTCGTGCATCGCCATGCCGTACAGAAAGTCCTTTTGATTTTATAACATCCCAGAGCATTTCCAGCTATTCATTCCCTTCGTCCATAAGCAACAGAGCATGTATAAAATCACTACTTTCTGCAATTCTTCACCAAAGCAATACAGCAATCTTTCTCACCTACGCGCATCCTTATCAGCCGCCACGATGAACTGCTTGGCGGGGGAGTCCCAGTCACTGTGGTGCGGCTTGAGCTTCTGGCGCTATTGCTCTCCTTCCCTCTGGAAATTATTGCTTGCACCTGAGTCCGCTCCTCCTCCTCCTCCTCCTCCTCCTCCT